GGTACTTTTGGAAGATTCTGATGGAAGATTAGTGGATGAATTTGGTAAGGTATGTAAAAGAAGAAAATTAAAAGTAAATATAGGAAAGAGTGAGGTTATGAGGATAACAAAAAGATTAGGTGACGAAAGACTGGATATCAGATTGGAGGGAGAGAGTATGGAGGAGGTGAATGTATTCAGATATTCAGGAGTGGACGTGTCAGCAGATGGGTCTATCATAGGACGAGATGAATCATAAATTGATGAGGGAAAAAGGGTAAGTGGTGCACTTAGGAGTCTGTGGAGACAAAGAGCTATCCGTGGAAGCAAAAATGGGAATGTTTGAGAGTATAGTTGTACCAACACTCTTGTATGGGTGTGAAGCATGGGTGATGAATGTTGCAATGAGGAGAAGGCTGGAGGCAGTGGAGATGTCATGTCTGAGGGCAATGTGTGGTGTGAATATAATGTAGAGAATTCGTAGTTCGGAAATTAGGAGAAGGTGTGGGATTACCAAAACTATTATTCAGAGGGCTGAGGAAGGGTTGTTGAGGTGGTTCGGACATGTGGAGAGAATGGAACATAACAGAATGACTTCGAGAGTGTATAAATTTGTAGTGGAGGGAAGGCGGGGTAGGGGTTAGCCTAGGAAAGGTTGGAGGGAGGGGGTAAAGGAGGTTTTGTGTGTGAGGGGCTTGGACTTCCAGCAAGCGTGCATGAGCGTATTTGATAGAAGTGAATAGAGACAACTGATTTTTAATACTTGACGTGCTGTTGGAGTGTGAGCAAAGTAACATTTATGAAGGGGTTCAGGGAAACCGGCAGGCCGGACTTGAGTCCTGGAGATGGGAAGTACAGTGCCTGCACTCTGAAGAAGGGGTGTTAATGTTGCAGTTTTATATCTGTAGTGTAAAGCACCCTTCTGGCAAGACAGTGATGGAATGAATGAATGATGGTAAGGAGGTGATGCTAGAGAGGCTCTCTAGCATCACCTCCTTAGTTCCACTACTACTACTACTACTACTACTACTACTACCACCACCACCTCTACCCACGCATCACCTCACCTGACTCCTGCCACTACATAATTACGTTTTCTTAGTTTTCTCTGTATTAGGACTGAAGAAGCCACTCGTGGCGAAACGTCTCCTTTAATAAATGTCCTGAACTGTACATAAGTGTCTTTTTCCACATCTTGTCGGTATCACCATACCATTTCCTCACCCTGTATTGTCCAGATTCATATTGAACATTCTTCAGGTATTGTTCCTGAGGAAAGGAATCATCAGGACTTTCTTCATTTACATTGATTCCGATGCTGTCCAGTTCCCACAATTTATACATTGGCTCAACATCATCCTCTATGGAAGAATATTTATACTAGGGTGCTCTTTCATGAGTAAGACACACAGTGACTGTATTTGTTTCCTCTAGTCATTCATCTTTAGTATGAGGAAGCCTACCATATATTATATGACTTCCTGCTGTTTTAAGAGTATTATTATTATAATCAAGGGGGAAGCGCTAAACCCGTAGGATTATACAGCACCTGGGGGGGATGTGGAAGGTATTCAGCTTTAATTTAGGGAACTGGAGAACAGATCCAATTCCCTAGATCAAGAGCCCCTCACCAGCATCAAAGAGCCTTTCTTGAGCAGGTTTTTAGAAGTGACACCACATTTCCTTACTATACCCTTCAGAAATGAAGCATAATAAATACTCCCTATTAGAGATCTACTTGCCCCACTGAGTCATTATTTACACAAGAGGCTGCCAATTCTACACCATTTTGTGAAAGCCTTTTGGTAGCTTCACTAAGCCCAATTGTTGAGATTTTCTGTAGGAGTCTGTCTACTATAACTGCATTTATACATTTTATCTCATTGCCCAGGCCGACATTTACATACACAGTATCGTACAACTGGGCCTTTTTATCTGACAGAAAACCAGGTAATTTTAAATTTGTAGGATCCCCCTTTTGCACTTTCATACCATCAAGGAAACTACTTTTCATGAAAGTGTGTTGCCCTTTTGCATGAGCTGGAAGATTTTCCAGCAGTGGTCAATTTTTAACAGTGTTCTGGGAATTGCTGGGATGTTGCATCCGGAGGCTTGTAGACTACCACAAATGATAGGTTTTGGTTCTCGACCTTTATGCTAAAACTTCCACTACGTTCATTTGAGGCAATTAGCAGTTCTGTGCAAACAAGTGAACTCTGAATGTACAGGCCAAACCCCCCCCTTTTGCCTGTTCACTCTGTTCACATCTGTAGGTTGTAACCTGGGGATCATATTTCGTGTCCAATGTGTTCTTTTGTGGGGTACTTCAGCAATCACTATTTAATACATGTAAACCACACAATAATCAAATTTCTGTAAACTCAGCTTGTAATCATCTTATAGAGAATAAACTTTGATGAATTGAATTGATTGAATTTGGAATGGTGGGAAATGCTGATGTGTTGATTAAGTTTGCCCTAACTTTATTGAATTACAGTTGGTCCATCAATTATCGTCAGATCCGTTCCTGAAAGTGTGGAACTATTATCGAAATGGACAATTTACACGAATCAATTTTCCCCATAAGAAATAATGCCTAAATTCAATTAATCCCTTTCCTGACACCCAGAGTAGTATTAAAACCTCAAAAAATTTTTTTACATGAAATATAGTGTTGTACATAAACAATACTGTGGCAACATGATGAATTAAACATTTACGAATACACTTACTTTTATTGGCGAAGTCTTCTTTGTGTAGGACGACTGAAGGAAGGCGAACTGGATTGGATGATTTACTGTTTGGAAAGGGGAAATCCCGCTCCATCAACACTCGGGAGGGTACCAATTGCTTTTCTGGGGGATACTTCTTTCTCTGTTTCTTATGCCACTAGGACACCACCTTGGAGTCACTGGAGTCCCTGTCTCACAAAAAAAGGTCTA